CAGGGACTCACTGAGTGATACATTCATTCTTTCAACGGACAGACAGAGCCCTCTTCACCAGACACTCAGCTTATAGGCCAGTAATAGCCAATAGCTATTATAGGGTCCATCGAGACCTTATTGGTTCCGTCTTTGTCACATTTGACGAGACAGAAACAGCAACTGGCAAATTACTGAGGCTGCGACCAACAATTATTTTCATTCTCCGTCCATCTGCTGATTTTTGTCTTGATTATCCGGTTCGTTGTTTGGTCTCTTACAGGCAAGAAAATTGAAAAAAACATACATAAATAAAATTCTCTAGTCCAAGGTGATGTCATCCGTCTTGTTTTGTCTGACCAAATGGAAAGCCCAAAGACGATGACAGATAAAAACACCAAATCCTGATATTAGAGAGCCTGATGACCAAACTGATACTGAAAAAGCAGTCCATGACCTAATTAATGAATTAACTCATCACTTCAAGTTATGCTTTACTTTGCTGAAATCTAAATCTTTACTATAATCTCCTCTCTCTTGTTCCCATCTCCTCTTTCCTACTCTCCTCTCCTCCGTCATGGGCCTGGCACTCATCCAGTATGTGCCCACATGTTGCATTTGCAGCACGCCATCCTTCACCCCAAGTGGCAGAGAGACCCAAAGTTCTTCATTCACTCGCATTATTTACACAAACAAAGTCCTGCTCCGTTTCTGCGACAAAGCCAACTAAATCTTTATGGCTCTTTCATGTATTGTCTGCTCACGGTTCCCTTTTGTCCCCCAGTCGTTGGCCTGGGCCGTGGATACAATGAGGCTGGGAGAATGGAGGCAGATTGAAGGAATGCACCTCAATAAACCTAATTATGACATGATGACTGCGCTCACCATGGTAGGGGTTTTTCAAAGATCCCGGGCTTATTCAATTAGCCCTTTCCAGGATCCCCTTTCACCAAATAAAGTTATCCCTTTGACTGTTTGCATTGCAGAGTGCATGGAATGTGTGTGTGTGTGTGTGTGTGTGTGCGTGTGTCGGCCCTCAACAAGGCTCCTCTGTATTATCTGGTTAATTTCACCTAACGAAGTATGGACCCTAAAAGATACACTGTGAAAATGTGGAGCATGAAGGAGGGAGAGGGGGAGAGGCAAGAGGGGGAGAGGGAGAGGGCAGGGACACTGTGACTGTTTTAATCATTAACTTTGTCTCCAGGGTTAATTACTATGACGCTAGGATTTTGGTACAGCTCAGCAACAGGCCTGGAGGGCTAACATTACTGCCAAATATATAAATATTTGATAGAAAATGGAGAAGAGAAGAAGAAGGGGTGGGGTATTTTTTGAGTGTGGATTTCTTTCTGTTTTAACTCATATTTACTTATTGCACAGGGATTTGGGAGAAAATGTGGTTTAATTTAAATTGACAGAAAATAAGGCCTTTTATTACAAGTGTATTATTACTTAAGTCATTCAATATTTATTATTAATAACATTGTGTGTTCACATTACTTTTTTTTTTGCAGTTCAAATTAACTTGCACCTCTGACCATGTAACTCCAAATATCAATGCACTAAAGCCACTTTTCAAACAAGCTGCTACCAATCAGGAATAAGCAAGAGGTCATAAAATAGCAGGGCGAATTAATTTTAGTTTGATATTGTATTAAGGTTTTGGATTAAAGGTGCTGTTTTGATAGCTTGGTGTGAATTAATTATTGTTGACATGATAAATCAACTCAAAATATCTTTGAAAAGTTACATGCCTTGTACCAAAGCATAGACAAGTGAAAACTGCTCAAACTACTTCTACCTAGAATGACCAGACAAGCTGGGGTTTTTATAGGCCTGACATATTGGAATTGTAACAATATATATAGTTAATCAACCAGGCAGAAGGTTAATAAAGAACTTAATTAGAAACTTCGCGGAGCAGCACTGACTTTCCTTTGTGCGCTCCGGAGGACGCAGCCCAGATATTAAACGAGTAGTGCGCCGCAGGCTGAGAGAAACAGAGAGGAAGAATAGGAAACAGAGGGAGAGGGGCGGTGTTGCTCTCCAGATGAAAGTGAGATGAAATAAAAGAGTCGATTTAATCTGCTTGAAGAGATTTGGGGGAGCAAGAGTTGGAGGAGGAGGAGCGGGAGGGGACGGCTGTTCGGAGCTGTGCGCAGCGCAGGACGGGTGGCCGGGGCCCCCATTGTGAAGCATGCGCTCCGGGCCAGACCGGGGCTCTCCGGGGAGAACATTGGTCCCTATTCACCGCAAACACTCTGTAATACACTCCCTCCGTCATTAGCTAAATGTGACATAGCACAATATCGACATCATTTAGAAGACATTATTAATGTCCGCGGGGGCACGGGCCGGCGCTCATCAAAGAATCGTGGCGCATGAGTTGCAGGCTGGAGATGGCATGGTGCTATTCGTCATCCACTTAGTCTCGTTGACCAATTACAGTCTGAATATTATGACAAACACAGCCACCAAACTCAATCAAATGCCACTCAGTCTAACATTGTTGATTTTTCCATTTTAAAGCGCTGGAGATGGACAATTACGCACTGTTTTCTGACGCCGTGAAAACCAAATAAACACTGCGAAATGTGCAATGTCACATCTTATTATTATTATATACCATAACACAAATTCTAGCTTATGTTGGCGACCTAAAATGTTTCCATTTTTTTGTACTCCCTTTTCTTAACAAACTCTCCATCACCCCGCCGCACAGTTTGTTACTTTTAAAAATGGCACATCTCAAATACGAGGTGAGCACTTTCTTTGCGCAGCCTGCACAACCGCGTGTGCGCAAGTTTTGGGTGCGAGCGCGCATCCCTGAGCGCCGCGTGAATGGATTTCAGAGGCCTCCATTGTCACATGTGAATGGCAGTCGCGTTCTTTAGGCGACCCCAAAAGGGGAACATTTTGTAGGTGAAAACGGCCATTTTCTGTGCTGCATGGACGGGCCCTCTTAACCGTGCCGTGCCGGGCCGCTCCCTGAATAATTCATCCTTCATTGCGGCCCTCATAATGTGTTTTGTCGGGCTTTTCTGTGGCGAGGCTCTCCTCTCCCCTCGTCTCCCCTCCCCTCGGACTGAATTATAAACAGGTTGCCTTCTTCATCTCCTTCTTCTTTTTCGCGGCGGCCAAAGCTGTTTCCAAGCTGGCCTTTTGTCCGCGCGCAGCCCAAGCGTGAGCCCCAAATGGACTCACGCGCTTTTGTCTCTCAAGTTCATCCGTGAGCGTCCCGTTGTGCGCGCGAGGCGGGTCTTTGTCCGGAGATGGAAACCGTTGAACAAATGTTTGATCAACTCATCTGGGGGACATTTTGTCCTTTGTCTCTCCTGCGCTCATTCGCGGACGCAGAGATGGAGACAGTATCTCAGAGGAGCTTGGGACACATGTTGACATTTCACTGCTTAAAAAGTGAGAGTAAAACTGTTGAACATATTTGTTTAAAATGTGCTCCAGTGCTATTCTATTAATTTACCATGCAGCAAGTTTTAAATTATAAATGGACTTTTCAGAATCTCCAACCTGAACTGTTTCAAACTCCATCACCTCCAGTGTTTTTCCCCTGGAATTATTGAGCTGCCTGTCACACGCTGCGAGTTATTTAAGAATAAAGTAAAAACATTTAAATTAATTTTAATCGAATAAAACGGTGTCACTGTCAGCACAGTTTATTATCTGATGCCAAACTCTCTGATGAGGCCACAGCTTGTTCGTGTTTGTTTAAGAGAAGATGTATGTGCCCGTTGAGGAGGTTGTAATAATTTGGAAAGTACCAGCAGGACAGATTTCCACTCTAATGACGTAGGTTAAAAATGAGGAAATTACATTAAAACGGGCTAATGAGAACTATAATGTAGCTGCAGAGCAATGAGTCCACATCTCCAGTTATAGCTACTGTCTGCGAGGGGAATACAGAGGTACAGTTTTTATTCTCTGGCTTCTGACACTTCATGCACTTTACACCCAAAAAAAATAAAAAAAATGTAAAGTTTGGCCTGCAAATTACAATATTTTTTTGTTGGCCAGAATTTGTTTTTCTTTTCAAAATTTAAATATAAATGACAGAATGAGACAGTGACACGTATTTTAAATCACCTCAGAGTGTTTCATTCTATTTAAATCAGCTATACAGAAAATAATTGCATTAGAGGCAACTTATCTAAGTCATTTAAAATCATTTCCATTTGTTTCAGGATGCTCGGGCTGAATGTGAGACTGAGTAACTTGGCTTGTACAGGTGGTCGGTGTTTTATAGTGCACGCTGCCGTTTGAGACACTAATAAAAATCGATTTGTTGCATAAAAATAATGTCCAACCAACTGACTAACAGTAATATGAACTATGTTCCTATAATTCATTAAGGCACTCCACCTAAATATTAGAGGAGGAATTTACAATGCCTTATCTCTGCAATTTTAATAATTCTTTTAAAATATATACGTGCATCCTTAAAGTAACATGATTGTCCTTTTACAGCTTTTACAAGACTGCTGAACACACACACACACACACACACACACATGCAGGGCCATCACCTGCTGTTTGATTTACGGTATGGCCTCATGGGAAAAGCATTAGCGGGAGAGATATGGTCGATAAAGAATTCCTAACAAAGGACGACACACACTCTCCACCCCCATCAAACACGTTTACAGCACGCTCAAACTTCACACACTCCTGGTTTGTACGATCAAATAAAAGCTCCTCTGCTCCAAACTCAGCTCACAAGCATTCAACAGGTTGGAGGCGCGTTTTATTGATCCCTCCTGTTTCTGCAAAATGGGATTGTATTCCTCTATAATTTAATCCACTGGAAACGACACCAGCTGCAGATTATACACGAACAGACAGGCTGTTAAATTCTCACTTCACCGGTGCTTCCCACCAGCACAGACACTTTAGCGTTGAACAGTAAATAAAAATCACATGGACTCGCTGAGAGGACATCTGATCAAACAGGGCTCGAGTGTGTGTCTACACTATTTGAGGTCATGGACATGAAAGGAAGATAACAGCCAACTTTCTGTTTTCTACTTCTACTTATTCAGCGTCAACAACGACCTGCAGAGTTTTCACTCACATCTGTCTCCCAGGATGCCTTCAATGCTGTGTTTGGCCCTGCGGTCGTGGTCCTCCAACTCCTTCCTCTCGATCTCATCGTCATCCTCCTCCTCATCACCTTTAACTCCGAACTTACTCCGCATGATGCGACTGATTGAGCTCACTGCGAAAGTCAAAAAGTGGGCAAAAGTGATAAAAATGAGATCGATGTAAATATATTAAATATCAAAGATATCCACAAACTGACAGGACAATAAATATATAGACAATTAAAACCTCTACAAATTAAAATACTGGAAGAAATTAGTCAGAATTGTTGAAGGGAAAGAAAGTTTTTTTGATAATTTTACTGTTTTTTAAATACTTGGTCTAATTATTTCGGAAAATAATAGCAATATTAATTATATTAATAATAATAATAAATAATGTGAAAATCCAGTCGTTTCTGCCTTTTTTACCTGAAGGCACGTTGTTGCGGTCACATATCCCATCCTTCAGTAATTTATCCCGAATCTCCCAGCTAAACATACCCGGGTTTTCCCGCTTGTATTCTTCGATTCTCTTCTCCACGTCCGGTGTTGTTCCCTGCTTCAAGGGTCAGAAAAGTTTCACTGTTTATTCACTTCGACGAGGCCCTTGGGGCACAAAGCAAACAAGTCTGTTCCAACTTATTTCAAAAAGGAAATCAGCAGGCTGCTGTTATATATTTATCACTACACGGGGTTGCATACAAAAGTGAATGAAAGTAAAAAACATGGTAATAAAATATATCCTCGGATGCTTTGAGGATTAAAGCTTCATCACCCCTGGTCTACGGGAGCCTGTGCTGCTCTTGCCCCGATCTCGGGCTCTTTACCTTGGGTTTGCTGCCTCCTATGGCCCCGGGTCTGATGGAGCCCGTCTCCTGGTACCGACACAGGATTTTGGACACGCAGCCGTGGGAGACCCGGAGCTGCCGGGAGATGACGCACGGCCTGATGCCGTGGTGGGCCATCTCCACGATCTTATGTCGGATGTGGTTGGGCAGAGGCCTGCCATTGATGAATACTCCTCCGAGCTGGTTGACTCGGCCTTGACCCAGTGGGGTGGACACTAAACATTTGAATCAAAATATAATAAGAGGGTCTCAATGGCTCCACAGTGATCCAGACAGTTTTAACTGGCATGCAAAAAATATATATATATATATATACTGCATAAAATAGCTGACAATCAGTATTTCTTAATAAAAAACTGTGAAGCTGTAAATCTATCCCAGTGAAATTGTAAAATAATTTGTGACGATACAAAACATTTTGTCAGTAGCATAATAATTGCAAACAGGCTGCAGAAAAGTTTGCTCAAAGTTGCTTGAACTTTACTAAAATTGTTGTGAAAGAGAAAACAAAAGCATGGGCAGTAATAATGAGTTAATTATGAAACAAACTCGATGATAGTGAGTAGAATCATGAGTAAATATTGAAATATGTCAGCTTACAGTCAAGTTAAGATTTAACTCTTGATATATGATTATATGATTGCTATAAATATATATCTATAGTATGCATATGCTAATAAAGCCTGTGTTTTTACGCAGCCCGGGACTGGATGAAAAGTTAAAAGTGACTTTTCACTCCAGTGTCCTGTGTCCACCTCCAGCCGCTCCCCGTGGCAGTGTGATGCTTTACCTTCCAGTGGGAAGCCGCTGCGGGGGTAGTTCTGAGCCAGCGTGGGTCGCATCATCCTGGGTATTGACCCCGCCAACGCAGTCATACCTCCTCCACCACCACCCCTGCGACAGTGTCCTCCTGACGGGGGGAGGCTGCTCCTCCAGCACCGGCTCCTCGGCAGGGGGAATACAAACTCGCCTCGGCCCCGTTGAGAAGTCTCCCGGAAGGTTATAGCCTCGGTTTAGCCTCGGTTAGCCTCGGTGGAGGTTAGCCGCAGCCGGGCTGCAGCCGAGAACCAGGGTCCCGGGACGGCCAGGAGTCCAGATGTGACGACGGTGGAAGAGAAGTTTGATTCCTGGACGTGTAGCAGAGTTATTGTCTGGGTGGTGTTCGATGTGAGAGTTCAGTGTGGTGGTCGAGGCGGTGCAGGGACGGAGGGGCTGCTGTTGTTGTTGTTTGTTGACACCGGTTCAAATGAGGAGAATCAGTCACAAGCAGCTCGGCTCTTCTCTCTCCCCCAGTCAGCGCTCACGCCTCTGATTGGCTGCACGGATGAACCCGGCACGCAGCCTGACGCGGGGATTGGCCGTGGCTGCAAACTTTGGTCCAATCAGGGACGCTGTCACGGGTCCGCTCGCACGGTACGGGACAGGGACGTGAATTCATTTGGAGCCTCAGAGGATTCACAGCGTGTTCTGTCCCACCACTGTTACAACCACGAGCTGAATGAACTACTGTGGAAACATAGATGAGGAGGTGTTTCATGTATTTGTCACAAAAGTATTTTCCAAACATGCACACTGAGTTTGAGCTTTTACACCTAAATGAATCTTCTCTCTCCTTTGTTCTGATTTGTTTCCATAGATTAATACATGATGGAATGAATGCATACACCACACCACTGCTGCATATGTGCTGACAAATCACAGCCCAACAGTGTTAAATCTATTATTATATTAATATTATTGTTATAATAATTGAATCCAGCGCAACAAATGCAAAATAAACGTGTGAATGAGGTGAGAAAACTATCAATCACTTTTTAATCCAATACAGCACCAAAGTATTATAGGAAAAACAAGAAAGAAAGTTGTGGCGTATTACATTCCATTAAGATTATTTTTGAATTATATTTCACTACACTGAAAAGTCTATATGGATCTATATCTATATCTATGGGTCTATGACTTGACACCAAAATCATAGCAAAAAAAATCAAATGAATTAAATGATAACTGCAAACCAACAATCTATTAATATTGGTCATATAGACACACCATATATCACTGGTATTATATAGCCTATTTGTTTCAGACTGTTTTTGCAAAATAAAATAAATATTTTAGACTTATTCAACTATGCTACAGTAATCTATAATTTATCAACCAATTTCTTTCCTGTGACTGATAAGAATATACATTTAAAATCTAAATAGTGATCCCTGGCATTAATTTCTTGCCAGTTTTGTCACAAGTCTGTGCGTAAAATCATAAACCATATGCCGAATGCATGCTATCGCAAACGACCCCTAATTTGTTTCCACCCCATGGCCTCATATATGACACAAATGGTGCTAAAGTGTGTGCACCTCGAGGAATTTATTGTGGTTTTCAGTGTGAGCACCAGCAGTCTGAAGGGGGACATGCGCCACAGCAGGATACGACGCCAGGGCGGCCGTAAAGCCAGTCTAGCCCTGTGCCACAATAGAGACCAGGGTGTATGTGTATCTCCAAATGTCCAATAATCAATACTATCACTGCACAATAAAGAGTTCTGTATCGTCCTTTCGTCCTTGGATCGGTGACTGAAGTAATGGATCCGGTCCTGTGCTTTGAAATCCAACAAAAGCTTCTCCATCATTACTCGAATAAACACCAGTGCATATATTCAACATTAGAGTTAAAAAGTCGAACATTTAGGAAAGAGCTTGCCGAATTGAATTTCAAACTGCGTTTTTTCCTCTGAAACCTCCTGATTCAGATTTTACACTTATTAGTTTAATTCCATTCTTGATTTTGGACACATGATGGCACAGCAGCAGCAGCAGCCGGACCAACACTGCTCCTCGTGTCAGACAGGTCGGGATTCACCTCATGCAACCAAATGAAATCATGGTAACGGTTTAACCAAAGTCGTAAAATATCTTGATTGATCATTAAATGTGAGACTCACGCAGAAAATCGGTTTATGCGCAAATATATTTCCGTGCATCAGAGTTTGCGCAGCGTCGGCACGGAGAGAAAATCCTGAAACCTTCGTGTGGCTGATGCAAAACTGAAGGTGAAAAGCGACCCCCAGCACCTGATCACCTCCTTTCATGTCTCTGCCCTCTCACCTGAGACATAACTGTGTCCCGATGGGAGGGAGGAGGAGGAGGAGTGGAGGACACCCACCTCCTCTTGTCATTAAGCTTCATTTACACAGGGGAGAGATACCCCACAGGCTGAAGTGGTTTTCAATTAACATTCGCCTCTTCCAGTGGCTTTTGATAGTAATAAAAAAAGAGGGGAAACTCGCACTTCAGATGTTGTCTTTGCTGTCAAAAACGCGCGGGGACAATGGGTGGACGCTGGGTTTAAAATAAGCGGGGTGACCGGGGGGTCTTTCACCTGCTAAAGAGGTTGTCATTATCCTCCGGGTGAAGATTATTATCATGCCCCGCACATGACTGAGTCCCGCACGATGCCATAACACGGCTTCAAAACGAGGGGGGGAAACGTGAGTTTGTTTCTGACTGATTTTTACATTTGTTAATCAAACTCAGAAACTTGGAGGAGTTCTTGGAGGAAGGGTGGATAATCACTTGTGCCCTAAATCACAATCATGTCATCGAATGAGTGGTGGGGGCAGCAGGTAAAACAACAGGCCTCGTGTGGGTGAATGCTGTCAAAAGTGTGACTAAGAATTAAAAACTTTCTTAAGTTTGACTATTGGTTGTGTTGATTTCTTCCTCACATTTGTACTGACCTATTCCAAGGATGGGGGGAACAAACATCAGTGTTTTTTTACGCAGACGAACGTGACGATTTGGGAGTGTCAGTGATCTTATGCTGAAACTGGATATTACAGAGAGGGGGCAAATGAAAAACAGAGAGGGAGAGTGAGGGAGGCATGATGCATACTGCGGCCCTCTCTTTAAAAGCGACACTGAATCTCCGTGTCTAATCCATTACCGGGGGATGAAATTCAAAGTCAGAAATCTCGCTTGATGAGAAATAAATGAAGTTGCATCACATGCTCTGCGTGGAGGCCATTCACAAACACGTATTTATCAAATCAATTAGTTCCCAAATGCGTCATATTCAGGGTAATAATTAAAACCAAATAAGGGTTCAAGTAAGTCTATGATTTATACATTGGGAATTATTGTGCTTTTTTTTACTGCACTTTAAATGTGGAGTTAACAGCTATGGGCCACAATTTTACGATTTTCTTTTCATCTTGTTTAATGATTTCAACATTTTACTCCAGGGGCATTTTAATGCACTTGCATTGGGATGTGTATTCTGTTATAGTTATTTATACTTAAGTAAAACCTCTCCCCCACTGAAATGAGGACTTTTAAGATGTAATTAAAAAGAGACAGAGAAGTGTGAGAAGATCGTGAGTCACAGCAAACTCCCATATTTAGACAAATGCTTGTATTTTTTTATGATAACACAAATTTTATTTTACATTTTATCAAAACAAACAAACAGTTTATTTTAATACATGCTTAATGTACTTTATTTATAAAGGCAGACATATTCAGGTATTCAGGTGCAATTTAAACTTGAAATGTTAAAAAAAGTCTTGAGTGTTTTATAATTTTCACTGCAAACACAGTAAAGGCCATGTGGACAAAATGTACTGTGAGTAAGCATGATTAAATGCTACATCAGGCTATATATTTTTATCAGTTATATACACATGGCTAATGAGAGGCTAATGAGAGTCATTGAAATCCATTGGCTGATAGCGTCCTTTACAAAAACATGTCCTCTGACTCTGTTTGTTGTCATGGCTCGTTTGCAAACTCACATCGCCTCCAACTATTTCCAAGTAATCAGTGTAACTGTGGCTAATTGAAAAATACAGCAAGGCTTTGACACAATAGGCCTGAGTGTTGTGCTGCCACAATGAAGTGACCAGTCAGCGAGCACAGGCGTATTTACATGGTGCTGAGAATATATGAACACAGAGGTGGGAGGTAAATTATCATCTGAGAAAAGACGCTATGACAGCAATCATCAATGTAAAGTGTGTGTATAGGGCCTACACAGAAAACCAGTGATTGGACGGTGAATGGCCAACACTGATCTTTATCTGTTCTGTTTGTGTATGAGGGGGAAAAAATCTTAATGCTGAATGGCCTAATTTATATAAACTAAATGGGGGCTTTATTAGACCATATAAACACATATGACAAATCTCAGTCTGTAGTATTAACAGCTCATCAACATCCAGCCCTTAATGAAAAATCTATTTACTTTTAATCAGGCATTAGCCACCAGAAGTTTACATAAGTAGACGTGCATGAGAAATGCAACCAGGCTGACACTGAGGGGTGGGAGTTCCCCTCTTTTTTTTGAACAGAGAGCATGTAGCATGGTCTGTCTTCCAGTAGGGGGCATATTTGATGCACAGCAGGATACCAACTGTGTCCAGTTGGAGCATATTCAATGTAATACCAGTCATTATGTAAGAGCGAGCGTGATAAAATACAGCCGTGGTCACAGGATTTTCTTGCAGCTGTAATGCTCTGTTGTAACAATAGAACTAATGACATCTGTGGGTATTCATGTTTTCTTTATTACTGAAATGTGTTTATGTATGTAAAACAGCACATAAAGAACAGTTCTCTGTGCAAATACATTTGGTACGTTTAACAACAACCACGGATTCTCATAAAAACCAACGACATTGTCTAGGTCCTCTGAAGTAAATACAATATGCTTAGTCAAAGGTGTGCCCCGTTACTCGTGTCAAATAAGGGGGGAAAGTGCATCATTTAGAAGTTGAGTGGGAGAAAGGTTGAGCGGGATGATTGGAGCAAGCATGAGAATCAGACTTGGAGCGGGGATGAGAATCATTTTGAACTCTTTCTTTTCCCCCCCCTGTGCAATATAGCGATTGTGCAAGGGCGAGTGCGCGTCTGAAACCACTTTGGTCTTTGTCTGAATCCTCCCCGAATTCTTTATTAAATGCTGTGAAGAAGGTCTGTGAGTGTGATTCACTTGCTCCTCAGACACACACGTCAATAATGGGGGTCCTGACACCACACCACAAATAAGGTATCACTTTTTGCCCAATAAGAATCCAATATAAATACATTAAAGAGATTGTAGCAGGACACACACAATTTTACCACCGATTCACAGTAATATAGAAGTCAACTGACTATAGGCCCTTGGGTTTTAGCTTTTTTTTTATGGATTGCATTGATTTGTCTGAAGCTAATTCCACTGAAAAGTTAAATCAGTATTTTTGGACAAACCTGCCTGAGAAAAAAATCCATACAAACCTCATTATAATAAGCTGTAGTTAGTTCAGTTCAATATTTGCACCGTGTTAATGAAGGACTTACTTGAAACAGTAAGGTACCACTAATCTGCCACAGAACATGTGGCTCTTAAAGTTCCCAGAGGAAATAATGACTGCTGAAAGTTTCTAAGAATCATGTTGATCATTACATCCGAACCGTAACTATCTATCGGTAAATCCTCACATGTGGCCCTGACGGAAGCAGAGGAGAGAGTTTGAACTTGGAAGTAGCTGAAAGTGGATTTATACCTTATTAATTTACCTGTTTAGACTGTTTACCTCTTTGACTCTTCAAAGTCAGGTGAAAAAAAAAAAAGAAAAAAAAAAGCAACAACCGGTTTATTCTAAGTATAAAAAGTCGTTTTGCGCTGGAAACCCTGTTTTCCACAACCAATGTGTGGCCTAAATAATGTGACAGGAGGAGGAAATCCCTGCCGACGCCTCAGCTGGGTGCTGTCAGTGGTGGGAGGCCCGAGCGTCAGTTTGATCGTGATTACAGTGAAGTTTTGCTTCATTCAGCAATGAGGTGGTGAGGCACAGGAGTCGGGACACGCACTGTCCCTTCCATTTAAAACAAGACAAGGGAAAACAAAAGGCCTTGACCTTCCAGTAGCCTAACATGCGCAAAAGAAGCCAAACACAAGTTCAAAATCACAAGTTATCCCTTTGCTGGAGGAGGTGCAGTTTTCATCGTCACAATGGAAACAGTGGCATTCTGTTAAATTAAAGCACAAGGATTAGGAAGGTCTTGGGGAAAGGCTGGTCACCACTTCTCTGTGGACTATTTACAGTTTGGATTATGGATTCTTTGCACTGTTTCAGAGGCTTTTTCACAAAAACACACAAGCCTCCCTGAAAAAGAAAAAAAAAACACAATCTCCTGAAAACTCAGAAGTGAACATTGTCAAATATCTGTACAATACAATAGTGCTTTGTTGAGATATAAGAGTGAAATCGTCATGGACAGTTATCATACAGGGAGTGGCATAGGGGGATATGCATATCATTTAGCAGGATGGGGAGGGGAGAGTGTCAAACCCTGGAAATGAGCACTTCACATTCAGTCATCAAATCTAAGTCTTGAGTTCACTCATGGAGATGTCCATCAGTCAGCTGGGACCACTGCAAATTTAAGTGCATTAGAGATTATCAAGGATCATGTCGGCCTATTGCTCCAAACAACATGAAGGCCTTTGGGTGTTTGCTATACTGATTCAAGGCCATTCTGGACGAGATTTATTCCTAGAAAAGTAAAGGGAGCAGGAGCATCAGTTGTCAGTATATTCTGTACATGACCACACAGCACAACAACCTCCATCCACAGCCTGCGTTCACAGTCAGGCGTTTCTCCGGGAGTTGCTGGTGGCGGACGAGCGGCCCGTCTCATGGTCCGGTCTGTATTTGAGCCAGCAGATGAGCCATGTGACGACCACCGAGAACATCGCCAGGATGCTGGCCACCGACAAGCAAATGGGTCCCGCCGGCGAGGGAGGAATGCTGTGGCTGTGCACGAAGATCAGGCCCATGAAGAGCAACACCAGCATGGACAGAAAGGAGAAGATCACGCACACGCAGCCGGTGGTCAGCGCCACCCGCTTGCAGCTCTGGCAGCTGTCGTAGCGCACCGAGTCCTGGGAGAGGGTCGTGGCTGTGGACACGGTGGTGGACGGTGTCGCCTGGCTGGTGCTGGACGCCCCCGACGCCTCCTCCCGGCGGAGCGCGACGAGGGCCGGGTGCAGCGGGGGAGGGTACGGCGGCAGGGCGTCCTGAGGCAGCGGGTCCGAGTCGATGTAGAGCGGGAAATCCTCCGTCACCTTGGTGTTGTTGGGCAGGTTCTGTATCCGGTAGTCCGGCACCGGGGTGCGGTGGCGACAGACGGGGCAGCTGATGCGCCATGGCCGCTCCTCCCGGAGGTGCAGCGTGTTCAGACACTCCTCGCAGAACGTGTGCAGGCACTCCAAGATCTTCGGGGCCCGGCGGTCAAGGTCGAAGTAATTGTAGCAGATCTTGCACTCGTACTCCTCGTAGGGAAACGCCGAGGAGGCCTCGCCGGGGGGCTCCGCTCCGCTCGGTGCCAGCTCTACCTCTGCCATGTCATCTTTCGCCATTCACATTCTCCGGTGAGCACAAAGGGAGCGGGCGGACAGATGCTGATGACGGTGCGCGTCTCTCCTCCTCTCCCCCCTGCTCATCGAAGCCCCATCAGACACTCTAGTGCTGCTGCTCCTGCTGCTGATGATGGTGGTGATGGTGAGGATGATGATGGCTCCTCATAGTCCAGCGTCATACACACCACGAGGAGCAGGGGCGTCCGCTGCAGCTGCTCCGTCTAAATGCTCGGGATCCCGGTGAAATATCAACAAAAACAGCCCTCACACGGTGCGAGGCTGTGTGGGAATAGATGATGTAATGGTGGTGACTCCGACGCGAGAGGCTCATCCATCCAAGCAGAGAGAGAGAGAGAGGGAGGCAGAGGGAGGGAGGGGGGCTGTTGTTTCAGCGCTCTGGGTGTGTACATGCAGGAAGCAGCTATGACAGCTATGCTCGTTCACAATTACGTACAGAAAGAATCATGGCAGACAATAGGATGCGCTAATTTGGTCAACCGGGGGCGTGAATTCACTGTTTCCTGTCACACACAAAGAGCATGTGGACTCACAGTGTCCAGACCAGGTCCAGACTCTGCAAACACACACAGACACCGGCTCATCAGTCCATCAATAAAAAAAGAGAAGTGCAGTTAAAGGAGAACACTCAGGTTCTGCATTTACAACCAGCCCACTGCCATAAAGGAGACTGGTCTGATGAACTAACACCATGGAGCTCTATAGATGGATAGACAGACAGACAGATGTGCAGTTGTATAGATAGACATAACATATAAGTACTCAAGTGACATAATTACACAATATACTATGCAGTTGAAAAGCACAGATAGGGTATCAGTAGTGCAAAAATAGATTGAGAAGTGTAAAATACTCCCTGGGAAGTAATTTTCATCCACAGGATGAGTAAAATAGTAATATGAATAGCAGCAGATGTAGTAGAATATCTGAATTTACAGTAAAATGTAAATGTATAGATCTGTTTTTACTTTGGGCTACAGACGATTTCCAAGAACACTTGTTTTTGGTAAACATTGCAAAGAGCAGGGGGGAGTAAAAAATACTACTTGTTTGATTGCAGCCTTAAGGTTGATCTAATTTTGTAAAACTCAACAAAAGACACAGTTTGTTCAGTAAGAATCTATTACGCCTCATGTTTGAAGTGATATTGTTGTAACAATAAAGACAATTTCAGAGTTTGTACTAATGTAATAAAGGAGAAAGAGACAGAAGTCATGTAAGTAGCTCATTACTTACATGACCTACACCGTTCTGTATACTAACCCATGTTGTTTATCATGTCACTATATGGGTGCAGCTGACTCAACTTCAAAGTGTGCACATAGACCGTTGTGTTCACTGTTAACTGCTGTCACAGGATTTGTTCTTACGACTATTAGAGGGTCATATGATTTCAATCCTAATGATTAAACTTCATTTCATCCGTTTGATCTCTTACAGCCCATATTTGATTAACTTTGCAGCATATTCTCTTCTTAATAACTCTTCATTTTAGGTCATAGGATTTGAAGACAGGGTCTTGTTTGAAGTTAGTGCTTTAGCTGAGAGGGACCTATTCGCATGAAGTTGAAGTCAACTTCCCTTTAGTCATTTTATGGGTTTTTACAACAGTGACCAACACATATAGCCTACTGATTGATTTTTTTCAATCAGGTCCTGGGTTGTTCCTGTTTGGGTCGGTGGTCTCAAGAGCAGCTTTCAGATAATGAAACTTGAAACCACAATATCAAATAAGTGGTCAGAAGTTCAGGTTGTTACTGTAGGTCCTATTTCTTGATAAGTAGACCCCCCTCTGAGATAAGCGTCTCTGATATAATGTGTGAACAGTGCAGTAAATATAGTGGTATTTTGGCAAAAATAGAGAAACCCTTTCAAAACAGGGATGAAAACCATCTGGATTGAGAAGTCTCACATTGACACACACTACGTTATACTGTCTCAATCCCGTCAGACACACATAACACCCCACAGATCAGACCGTGCATGCATGAGTTAGTTCTGTTAAATCAATACTCTTGTCTGTATGAAGGACGGGGGACTCAAAGACAGGTGTATTTTAAGTATTTTCACACCCAGATACAGACTCATCACAGCGGTCGTGTATTTTAGCACAGCTCAGCTGGGTCTTGGCCTGGAGGGCTCAGGATCAGAGGGCTATGAGGCAAAAATCAAAATGATTAACAAAAAGGGACATCTGAGGTTTGTGTCCAAAATAGAAAAGTAAATTACCCCTGCAGACAGAAGCTGCACTTCAAACTGTCTTAATTGGCGTTATACTGTCTTTTATATCAGTTAAATCTTGAGTTGAACAACATAACTGACATTCAGCCTGGATTTGGACCACTGAACTGATTTTCTAGGCGTATAATACATTATTATTTCAGATCCCGCTCTAAACTTGTCTGCTTGCTTGTCGTTTTCATAAGTGAGTCATTAGTGAATCCTCCTCAAACAGTTACATTACATTATTACATGATATGTCATTTAGAAAGTGACTTACTCTTACAATAAGTGCATTCAGCATCTATGAGGGGATATTTTTTGGGGTTCAGCATCTTGCCCAAGGACACTTCGGCATGAGCTGGGATTCAGTTCCAAAATATACTGTCACATTTTATTGTTTGTGTGCTGGACCTTGTGTAAAGAGCTTGTATATGGTGCAGAGTGAAGTTAGAAATCTTTGTGTTCATCCTACCTGGTTTATCTATAATGACGATTTTACAGTGTTTCATAAATAGGAATTGAATTTATCCATGATTTACTGAACTGCTGTTGTTGTTTCATATATTGCTTGATCGCTATTTCAGAGCTCTGTGAAGCAATGGACAATCTTCAGGCCTGAGTTCATAACTGTGCATGATGAAACCTCTGTAATTCAGCTCCGTTGCAGCAACAAGTATTTTTACTTTGAAGACAAATCGAAAGTTATTCTGTGAATGTTGTTGTTTTGACAGAGATCAGCCTCTGCAACACTGTCTGCCATGGTAAAACAATAATAATGACATTGTAAAAATGATCTGGCGGGACATGTATTACTGGCCGCAGGCCGCCAGTTGCCAGCCCCTGGTGTAGTTTATCCGAGGACATAGAAGAAGACGTGTGAAACGTGGTCCACAGACTGAACTTACACCTCCCTGCCCACTGTTGCCTCTTTATTCCACTTTTATCAATATTGAATTCATCACATGTCCGAATCACACCAAACTTAGTATTGCACTTCCTCTGCCCATTAGCAATACACATGCTGGGTGTGAAGCCAATAAGATGAACTGTTCGTGTGATGTGCGTTCCACAGCGACAGACAGTTTGTGGAATTAATTATTAATTATTATTACATAATAATAATAATAATAGCAACCCACTTATTTATATTACCCTATGTTTCTTAGCATATTTTCATTATTACCTTATTGTGTCTAACTGGCAGGTGCAATAAATGTCTTATGATAACATTCACAGAATAAAGGTCGCACAAAACCCTACCGGTCATTAGCTCCGCCCCGGGCGAGTCGGTACCTGTGGCGCACAGTGGCCGCACCTGTGCGCAGCTCTGATACCTGGGATGCGCCCTGCCTGTCTGCCTGAAATCTCCATGACCTGTCCTCCTCTGCAGAATATCCACCCAGCTCGCCTCTGCGTGTGTGCGTGTGTGTGTGTGTGTGTGTGTGTGTGTGTTCACCTAACATGCTGGAGGTCTTGACTTACCTCCACGGCCCCGAGCTCGTGGCCCGGTTCCAGAGACGCTGCGGACTCGTCCTCGTTGAAGCCGCTCATCACAACCAGGGGAGGACGCGCGCTCCGGCCCACGCCGACAACAAACCACGTGTGCAGGTGCAGGGAACATGGGACCACCAGGATAACAACTCCAAACACAGAAACATGGAGAACGGATGTGGCGCTGGTGTAAGTCGTTTACTGCGAAAACAAATTGGTCCTCTCAATAGCCCGCGTAAGTGTATTGAACCGTAACCATTTAAGCTGAAAATAGAAGTCAGAGTGTCCACACAGACACATCAGGCTGACTACACGGACACACATTAGTTTTAGTCAGCCATGTGGCTGAGGCAGTTTTTGATTGAGAAACATGGAAACCAAGGAGTGACTGGCTTTTCTCGTTTGTCTGGGTGATCCTCATCTGCACAGTTTGAGTGTTTACATTCTTCCCTCTGTTTAAGTAAAGGCAGTAAAAGTAAATATGCACCAGGTCACTTCCTGGTTATTTATGTGGGAACTGTTTGGGTTTCTCTATACACATTTTAAGGTCTCTACGGTCTTAACTCTATGATTTGGTGCTTAAAACGGAACTTTTTATTTTAGCTCATTCATTTTTAGCCTTGGATTTTGTGAAGCACTCTGAAACCTCGTTTAGATAAGTGCTGTACTAATGAAGTTATTATTTAGCAATAGTCTTCACGTTAATGTCAATGAAGTACTTGGAAGTACTTGATATAGTTTTTCATATGTCAATCTACAATTTCTTGTGTTAATTTAGATCTATAGGTGCAGAATATTCTTCAGTGTTAAGAACAAATGGATTTTAGTTTTAAAGATTTTATCTTTGAGTATAAACTGACAGTTTCTGAGATCTGGAATTTGAAAGAGGTGGGGGAATGGGCATGGGTGTTGAAAGATGCTAACTGGTTGCATTATGGGAAATGTAGCGTGGTATTTTGTTTGGCGCTTGATCCATATTACAGACTAAAAGTCAGGACTTTAATTCTGAAGTTAAAGGAGCAGAGGGTTTGGTCTCAACATTAAATGTGAGGTTAAATCTGTCCTGTCTCTTGTGGGAGCAGGAAACAAAAGAAGCCAACAGTTTGACTGCAGGGTTGGCCGGGAAATATAATCTCTGATCTAAATTAGATTTTCATCTCCAGGCACTGGGCTCCATCACATTTTGTTTTATCGCTGCGTGTTTGTTTTGTGCAGGGCTGCAGCAGGCCTCAGTATGAGGTGAGGAACTGGCTGCTGCACTTTCTCTTCCTGTTCTCATCAGCCCTGGGTCATGAAATCTTCTACATCACCTGTCTGCCCTGCATACACTGGAACCTGGACCCGTTCCTGTGCCGACGCCTCGTCAACATTTGGACTGTAAGCTAGACAGAGAATCTGTGTGTGTGTGTGTGTGTGTGTGTGTGCTGAACATGTCAGTCACTTTACCATGCAACAAACATAACACTTCTGTCTGATGTCCGTCTCCCTCACAATGCCACCTCTCTTCTCTCTGTTGTTCTGTTTTCCTCTTTTCACCTTTCAACCTCCCTTTCATTGTCCTCCCCCCTCAGCACTGGCCTGTCTCTGACACCAACATGCACATATATCCCCAGGCTTGGCAGCCGTCGACTGGGCCCGGCCTGACCAAGGGTCCCTGACATGTTTTGAGGCCACACAGGAGGATACATCAGTGGAAAAGGAGTGCTAAGATCTCCCCTTTAGATGTTTAGTGGTGACAGAATCCAGCACTTTATGTGAAGGGACCCCTAAAACATGTCAAAAGTGATCCCAGAAGGAGAGTATTTGACACTTGTGGTGACACAGCCGGACACAGACGACCATACACCCTCACTCCTGCAGAGTCTGTGATGGCCAGTGTGTTTTTGTGGCCTTTGTGGCCCTGCCCCGAGCACTTGGTGGGTGCCCTGTGTCTGAACCCCTTGTTTGGCCCCCCAGGGGAAAAGATCCCCTTCTTCTGGCATCCCGGCTGCACCAGGCCCCTGAGTGAACTCCCTTCAAACACTCACAAACACCAATACACACACACACATCTCTCGCTCCCCACCTCGCCTGCTAAACACGCTCATTGCCCTCCCTCTAGTTAGACATTACCAGCTTTACTCTGTGTTCTCCTCCCCCTAGTCTACCAGTAGAGTGTTTTATTGGCCTCATCAGCGCTCGGAGCTTTCTCTCCCCGGACCAACCATTTGGTCTGTCACCCCTCGGGGCGCATCACCCCGCACTTCGAACTTCTAACAGCACCCTGCCATTGTGCTGGTGGAGTTATTCAAGGTTCATGGAGGACACTAGTCTGTCTAACACTCTCTCTCTCTCTCACACACACAGACTGGCTGCTCCTCACGCAAACGATTGAAGTCCATCCATGCAAATTAAGACTTGTATGTGGGAGCAAACACATTAGAGGCCTATGAATAACACACACAATAACAAGCACACGCAATAACACCAACACATGCTCACATGTCCTTCACTACTTTCTGTTGTCTTTACTCACAGGGTGACTTTGTTTGACTTAGAAAACTATGGCTGTCATAAACCATATGGTCATGAACTACATAGCAGCGTTGTTACTACAGTGCTGTATTATGCAAATCATTTACCTCCTGTGCTCAAGTTGAACTTTTCCATAAAGACACAAAGGATTCACACTAACATATAAATTATGTTTAGGGAGAGTTTCCACTGCAGTCGAGAAGATGGTTGTCTTGATTTGTATGAAGTAATGATGGCAGAGGAGGATCACAGTCAATGACAGAAAGTTTCTTTCTTCTCAGACGACAGAACTTTTACAGTCCTGGATCAGCCCTCGATGCTGACAGCTGGGAATCTGAAATGCTCTGAATCATGAGGTTTCTGTTTACTGAGTGTAACTCTGTCGTGTTATTACAAGTGGACTGAGGTCAGAACTGTTGTTAAAAGAATAACCAGAATTTTCTGTTACAACAAAAAAGATCTCGTTAACAAATCAAGAGCTAGAAATCCCCCAAAAACGATGAATTATTCAACAAATGAAGGCCCACTCTAAATGTTTAATAGTAATTTTACTCTATTAAGCTTTCATCTAGCATCATCATCAGGTCAAAATTAAAATCTAGTTTTGTGACCAAATATCTCCAAACTGGCTCCGCTCCCACCAGCCTCAGCTGCACTGAACTGTTTATTGCTCTTTAGAAAATGTTTGGCTAAGATGACAAACATGATTAACTTTATACCTGCGAAACATCAGAATGTTAAAAGGGGAATTCTGGTATTTTTCAACTTGGGCCTTACATTTTTTTTTAAATGTGGGTGTGTAAATTGGTGAGTCCTTAAAAATACTTTTGGAATCAGTCCACTCCAGGTCAGCAGTGGCTACAGTGCGATCTCATGGGGCAACGGCAACATTCCATTAAAACAGTTTTTCACCAATACAAGGCTCAAATTGTTTTTCTAGGTCTTCGTTAGTCCCGGCTAATTTTTATAGACCGAACCTTTACTCTGAGTGCCCTATCTTACATCCTCTGCAGAGCAGCAATAGTTTGCTATAGATTCATACTGAAGCAGTTGTCATTTTTTCCCATCCAGTGTCTTTGTTATTTTAATAGTAAATGCTTTTGTAACCGTCTGAGTGGCCGTGGTGTCGGTCTTAACGCTTAGTCATGTCACTTTAGAGAAAAACTAACATCTTTTGTTTTCTCCATTCAAACAGTAACCTGTGCAAGAGCCTCTCTTCACTGCGCCCACAATCTCACACACTTCACTCACTCCGATCCACATGTTGACAGATCAAGGTCCAAAGCTGCTTTGGCCGCGATCAATACACCCATTCATGAGAAAACGCATACACTCCAGCTGCTCCTATGTGTGTGTGTGCGGGGGAACATTTGAAAGTTAACAGTTCAGCCAAGTAGTGGTTGTGGTTTTATATATATGGTTATGTACATCACCAAAGAATGAATTCAATGTCATGAAGTCAATGTAACTGAGTGTGTGTGTGTGCGTGTGCGTCTGCTGACCTGTCTTCAACTCTTCTCTTAATGTGACCACACTGTCCCTGGGTCATCCCTTTGATGATCTGTACAAAGACTCCAGTGAAACACTGTCGTGATGGCTTCACTGGAGGCAGCTGAATACGGTTGAATATGATGTTTGTGTTGATGGTGCAGTCCGGGGGAGGGGAGGGGTATGATATAATTCGAGCTGGCAGGCAGATTCATTGTATGACGGTCGGAGGGGGGGGTGTACACTGTGCATGATGTTTACACTGTAGGGCTTTTTGTATTAATAGACTGCACTAAATGGGCTTGCCATTGTCCTCTGTTTATTGTTTAGTGCCAATTATTCAGTGTGGGCACTCGTGCGTCTGCACTGTAGGTAGATCCAAGTATTGGAGTCGTGACATTTACATTCAGACATGACCAGAGAACAAGAATGAGACGAAAGGTTTAAAATTTGGAAATAGTCTGACAACTCTGGAAAGTTTCATCTGTCTCCCTTATTTTTCCCCATTTAGGTCATTTACGTCTAACATTTGGTTTATATAAGCATGCTATCATCTCTGTTTATCCTGCTGGCATGCTAACGCTCGCTAATTAGCACTAAACACTTCAGTAAAGGCTACATTAATATGAATGTTATTGTTCAAATCTGGCTATAGCCCACTGGAATTAGTTTTGTCCTATACCCAAAATGCCAATTTGTGCTGTAATCACGTGCTGAAAGTCAACAGGTTATCACAGTTAACACCAATAAAAAGGTAAAGAACACGTAACCTCTGTCCTTCAGTTATTACACGTATTTCCCTGTCATCAAAAGGGACATTTCTAACCAACAAAACCAGGAAGTGCTCAGTGTAGCTCCAAGCATCACTTTGTCTACATCTGCAGGAGAGTCACTAACGTGGCTGAAGTCTTGTCACATTTGTGTTTGCATGAAAAGCCCTGACCTGATCTCCATCAAACTCCACTGGGATCAACGAGGATGCCGAGTGCTAGTCAGGCCTTATCCCCCAGCAGAATAAGAGAGTGTCATGTTCTGGTGTCCACATATTTGCCTATTTTAATTACCATGTCTGTCTTTGTCCCGTCCTCTCTATCTGCTTCCCTCCGTGTCTCTACAAGTTGCTGCACTAATGGCGGGTCAGTAGATGTACTTTTATATCTTATTTTCCATGGTAACAGGCATCTTCTGATTACAGTGTCAGTGGAGATGGTAATAACAGCCTCTCTATTCTGTCCCTTAAACACACACATTAGTGTCCTGCTCGCTCTCGCTGCACTGCCTCCCTGCTCCTTGTGAAGACAGCCATTCATTAAATATACAACGCAGAGCTTTAAATAAAACTGGAGCTGGAGCAGGCTGCCCCTCCGACGGCCGCTGGGGATCTCATGAAAGAGAATAGGCAGCACATTTGGCAGGACGCACGCACACAGACACACACAAATCCACACCAATACCTATACGTCATTACCACACACACACACACACA